TTCTTCATCTGCAAAAAAGAATGTAATACCTCCAAGTGCTGATGTGAAGAGCATGTGAACAAAAAATATGAAAAAGGTTTGTAAACATGAACATACAAATGTTTGCTAGGATCACACTGCCATGATCTCTCCTTTGATCTCTGAAATCACCCTCCCTGATATCCATGTGGGTACGTGCTGATAATACCAGGAATGACTGCAGAATTTCAAGGAAAGTCTCCAACCCAACCTAAGACTTATTTCACTGAAGTATTATGATTATATAGACTATGTATTAATTGTTCTTTGTATAGAGGAGTAGCATTGGAAAACTTGGAAGAAAGGATGATGCTGTAACTCTAAGCAATTTGAACATCACTGCCTCAGATCATTAGTTCCTGCTTGTTGAGCTTGCTACTGAGGAAGAGTTTTGTATCTTCTCACCAAGTAAAATTAAAAATCACATGCACCATGTCACAAAAAGTGGTGTTTTACATGTGTGAGGAATGAGATGATAGTCATGTGCAAGTGTCAAGGTGAGCGCTGGAACATAGTGAGTGAAAGTAGAGGAAGATGTCCAGTCACAACAGGAAACGTCTTTGAGTGAGTCTAGCATTAAACTAAGTGTAGGTTATCTTATGGCATCCCCTACTATTGACCCAGGTTGTCCAGTGTGATGGGCATGAGAGTTCAATAAGATTAGTTAGAGAAGTGCCCTGGGAGCAACGTGTGATCTTACCACACTGTGTTTAGGGGCATCTGACATGGCCTTGCTGGAGAGGGTGTATTTCTCAGACTCAGCTTTGGTTTTCTTGACTCCTTTCAACCATTTCCTGTATTGTTCACAGACCTGCAGAGGTAAAGCATGCTCTGAGTCAGCTCCATGAGAGGAGGGAGGATGGAAAGAGTTTTGGGTGGGAGTCGGACAGTGGTACCTGCTGGCTGAGGAGGCAGTACACCAGAAAGATGAAGACACCCTGTAGGCCGTTGATGATGGTGAAGAGGTAGGCCATGGCATGGGCAGCTGGACTCACTTGCAGGATCCCCAGACACCACGTACAGCCCAAGATGAAGAGCTGAGCTGTCGCTTTGAATGTCAGCATCCTGAGTAGGAGGAGAAGGGAGACCCATGGTGTACCCAGAGCAACAGAATCAAGGCCATTTTCATCTCTGCCCATGGATGCCTCTGACTGAGTTATGATCAACTTTAGTCTTTGCTCTCAATTATTCTCTTGAAATAAATGCTATTTGTGTCCAGATTGGCATTTGACTTGGACTGAGGATGGTAGTGACACTTCAAAACATGGGTTTTAAATAGATTGCAATGTTTCATAAATATTCCCAATTTCATTCAACTGATATTTCTGAGTATGTTCTGTATGCCTGACTCTGTGCTGGATCCTGGGCATTGAAAATAACGAAGACAAGATTTCTGTTTCATAGACCTTACAGTGCAGTGGAAAGACTAAATCAAATGGTCATTTATACTATTTGTAAAGTGTGAGGTACTTCTTCCTGGGTGCCATACAGTACTGTTCCATCTTCTCTCCATGAAGTGATCCAGGGCATGCTTTGCCCAAAATAGAGGCTATTCATTGTGTGCAAAGTTGAGGAAATCAAAGGTTATCCCTAGCCTCTTAGAAGATGTGATATGTGGATAAGGAACATGATTTCACCAGGTGGAAGAGTGGAGAGGGTAGAGGGAAGAGCATTCATGAAGCTGTGAGCATGAAAGTACATGCAGGGTTCCAGGAACAGTTATATAATATCCTAAGTAACCCCTGTTTATCAGAACATAGTCAGTTCTCTCATAGCTGAGGTAGTTTTATGCTGGAGTATGAATGGATGAAATGTTTTTGTCTTGTGTGTCAGCAGCAAATCCCAATTATCTGAGCTAGTTTCCAAGGAAGGTGGCTGCATCTCTTTCCTCCAATCCCTCAGCATCCCTGTGAAAGAACATTAGGAGCTAGGAACCATGTGGCTTTGCTCATGGACCATGCTTTATAGGGAGGGGTGAGGCCCTCTGATCCATCTCACTTTGTGTTCTGGAGGGTGGACACATCGCTGCTGAGTGAGGAGAGCTTGACTTTCAGAATCCAGAAGGTCATCAGAAAGAAAGCCAAATTAATCTGTAAAATCCCCACAAGGCATATTGAATACATTCCATATCTGTAAACATTCCTCCTAGCTCATCCAACCCCTAAGTCGGCAAGTAAGAAGCTTTTTTTATTACACAGCAGTCATAGAAAACCAGACCAAACATCAAGGAACCCAGGCACATTCTTGTCCTGTAACCAGGGTGACCAACTCATCCCAGTTTGTATGGGAATTCCCAAGTTTTAGCACGGAAAGTCTGACATCTCAGGAAACGACTCTGTCCTGGTTTAAACTGACATCATGCCTACTTGGGGACCCTCAGTCTTGGGCAAGTAGAATGACAGCTCTCCTGCCCTGTATCCCTCCTTATACACTTGCTCTTTGTTTGGCCCTCAGCTGGGCAGGAAGGATGTGCTGATGTCATCCATTACTCACAGAGAAGATGGTGCAGATGGGGCCAAGGAAGGTCCATATAAATCTTTTGTGTGTGTGGAGCCAGCATCTAAGAGAGAGATGGAAAGTGATCAAAGACTATTTTTGCTTTTATGGATAAAAAGATCGATAAATAAATATATACCTCACCTCCGATAGTTTCGTCCTTCCTCCTTTATTATTAATGTTATTGCTTTTTTTGGTAAGAACATTTAATCTGAGATCTACCCTCTTAGTCAGTTATAAGTATACAATACAGTATTGTCAGTTTTAAGCATATGCTCTATAGATTTTTCAAACTTAATTATCTTTCATAACTGAAACTTTGTACATGCTCTTGATGGTGGTGATATTTTCACGGGTGTATACTTATCTCCAAACTCATAAGATTTTATACATTAAATGTGTACAGCTTTTTACATGTCAGTCTCACCTTAATAACTTGTTTTTTAAACATTTAAATTCTGTTTAAAACTGGCTTTTAAGTCTTGGCCTTTGGAAATGCTGACAGAAATATCAATTAAAAAATATTGATAATTTCTGGTTTAGTGGACAAATATTTTCTCGCTTCTGTATCAGGATCTGTGCTTGGCTCCCAGGTGCAATTAAGATAGACTGGTCTCAGTCCTCAGCGTGATTCCAGCTAGGTGGGAAGGTTAACAATTAGATAATAGAAGTGAATAAGATGATGAGTTTGATCATCAAGTATTTGGAGCTATGAGAACTTATACCCGAATCCATAGTCTAGTCTGAGGTACAGGAGCTTCAGATAGTTGAGAAGGGGTCCCTGAGGGAACTCACTGTGTTTATGCTGAGATATGACCAATGAGTAGGTGTCGAGAAGGTGAACAATTTGGGACATGCGAGGAGAGTGTAAAAAGATGTTCACCGTAACCTGACATAGTGTTAAGGCAGGGCTCATGTGCATTACATAATTTATTCCTCATGACAACACGGACTCAGATGAACACAGGTCGAGCATCTGAGGCTTAAGGAGACAGAGTCAGTAACTTAAGGCCACATGGGTAGAAATGACGGAATTGGAACTTGATCCCAAGTGAGGGGAATTGTGAGTGAGGAGAGAGGTGTGAGGACCATGGAGAGAGTTAGATGGATGCACCAAAAGAGAAAGCTACTAAGGCAGTGTTGGTAAACTGCAGCCTGTGGGCCAAGAGGGCTCACCACCTGGTTTTGTAAATGTATTTTTCTGGAAACAATTACACTCATTACTTTATATTTTGTCTTTGGCAGCTTTTGTGCTGCAAAGACAGAGGTGAGTAGTTGCAACAGACTATGTGGCCCACAAAGCTGAAAAGATTTATTCTTCAGCCCTTTACAGAAGAAGTTGCTCACTTTTATGCTAAGCTACCTAGGAAGGCCAGCTGGCCAGGCCTCATCTGATGCAGGTGAACATTAATTTTATCAGTCTAGGAGTATGTTGTGACTGTCAGACTGACTATCTTCATTTGATCCCAGTTCTGCCACCAACCAGCTCTGTGAACTTGGGCATGTTAATAGTCTCTGTGTCTCAATTTTCTCTGTAAAACTCACATAATACTAATTCTTACTTCAGAGGGTTGTTCAGAGTATGATTTGAGCTGACACATGAAAACTATTTAGAACAATAACTGAATATTAGAAGTGATTTATAAATCTTAGTTTTGGTAATAACAATTATTTCATTATCTAAATTATCCTCTATTTCTTCTAGAATTAAGAGAAGTTGGTTACACAAATCAATGTCATCTCTTCATTTCAATTTTGCTTTCTAGAAGATTTAACGCAGTCCCCTTAGTGGGGGGAGATTAGGAGAAAGATGGAGAATATAGTCAATAATATTGTGATAAATTTGCATACTGACAGATGATTACTAAATTAGGGTGATCACATTGTAAGGTATAGTAAATAGTATTGTGATAAATTTGCATGGTGACCATGATTACTAGAATTAGAGTAATCACATTTTAAGGGATAAAAATGTCGAATCACTATATATTGTGTACTTGAAACTAATATAATCAATATAATATTATATACCAACTACATTGAAATAAATAAATAAAAACAAAAACCAGTCTCTTAATTAAGACAATCAATACGATATTAATATACATTTGCTAATAGATAAGATACAATTATTATACCAATAGTCAATATAATATATTATTAATATTTAAAATAATAAAATATAAAAGAAAAAATTGTCACTTCAATTATTTCAACTATATATTAATTAATAATCATTAATATATTAGTGTATTGTTAATATACACAATATTATATCAATATAATGACATTTAAAACAATGTAAAATCTCTAGGACTTAAAAACAGCTAGCTATATCAATGAACACAATCTTCCACCACGAAGACATCTTTGGATTGAGTTTTTCTCTGTTTATCATATTCTCATGATATTAAAGGCTACGTTGGTCCTCTGCTGGCTATTGTCATATGGAGAAGATGAAGACAGTGAGAAGTTGCATATTCTGGGTGGGCGTGCCATAAAAGTGAGGCCTGGATGCTGCAGAAATGGCCACGATCACAGCCGGTACTCCGTAGCCCACAGGGAACATGAACTTCTTCATGAACGTGCTCACGCTGGAGTAGTTGACCACAGTCAGGTTGCGGACAGTGAGAAGAGGTTCAGGCCCTCCAGCAGCATCCAGGTGAAGGAGGCCAGGTAGAGGTAGTGTAAAGCACCCACGATGATGGCGCCCAGCACCTGTGGGAGGAGTAAGAGTCACCAGGTGGGATTGTCAGGTGAAGTGTGGTCCCAGGACTTCTACTACACCTTGTTGTTGGAAGAACTCTGATGCGTAGGAATAAGTTGTTAGAAGAGGGTTGGTCATCTAGTTATGTCAGTCAGTGTGAAAATAGCTACTCACATCCTCAAATCTTCCCAGAACCCAAGGCCAGTTTTTAAAGGTGTCCAATGCAGCATATATCCATGAACTTAGCATACTCTATGCGGGATAGAGGTCCTCTGGGTCAGTGTCAGTACCTTGATCTCTGTTCTGTCGATGGCCATGAGGAAGAGCAGGTGGGCCAGGAAGAGGCAGAGAGAGAGCTGCAGGTGGAGTGAAGCGCTAGTGTTCTAGATGGCTTTGCACAGCAAGAAGGTGAGGGCTGCCAGGAAGAGGCACAGCAGAGAGAGGCTCAGCCCCAGATAGGTGATCACAGCCAGGGCAGGATCCTCCTCCTGAAACCCAACAAAGAGAAGATCACTATCACATTATTGTACTCTGGGGTAAAATTGTGATTTTCAAATGCACAGACTAGAAAGGCAAAGCAAAAACAATTGTGTCGAGTATAGGCAAAATGGAAAAATTGCAACTCTCACACACTCTGGGTGAGAATGCAAAAAGTAACATCTATTCTGGAATGGAGTTTGGTGTTTCTTAAACAGTTAAACATACACTTACTATATAACCCAGCAATTCCATTTCTGGGTATTTACCTAAGAGAAATGAAAATAAATGTTCACAAAATGAATGTTTAAAAATGTTCATAACAGCTTTATTCATAATAGCCCAGACTGGACACAATACACATGTTCATTGAAATGGAGAACAGATAAACAAATTGTGATTTAGTCATACATTGTGATTATCTGGAGCATTAAAAAGAATGAACTATGGTTACACAGAACATAACATGGGAGAATCTCATAGACATTATGTTGAGCAAAAGAAACCAGACATGATAGAGAGAATGACTCTACTGAATGATTCTAAGTCAGAAGTAAAGTATGGTGATAAAAATCAGATCCATTGTCCTAGGGGTGAGGATGAGAGCATTGACTGCAACTGTCTTGAGAGCCTTTCTGGAGTTATTAAAGGGTCTATGTCTTAACTGGGGTTGTGGTTGCAGATTGGTTTATTATTGTCAAAACTCATGTACTGTATATTTATAACCTAATTTTTCTTGCAAATATGTTGCACTCCAATAAAGTTGATTAACAAAATGAATTACTTGAGGATCTGAGGTCTAGAAGGGAGATAGGGCTCCTATGAACTTCTTATTCTACTCAATGGTACCCGTGTAATAGGGTAGCCCTCCTTCAAAACACCAAGCCATTGAACCATATTAGTTGGATTTCAATCCTGAAATCTGTGCATCACTAAACTTACTAGGTTTATAGGTTATTTTCCTAAAAGTGATACTCCATTTTTGCACCATTTCTTACCCACGCAATTGCCTGAGGTCACCTTCATGAGTATTTGCACCAGCTCAGCTGAAAAAACATTTCTGGGCTGGGAAAAATAAGATGGTCCACAGAAGAACATACATTTATCTGTCTCTCCTGTTCCCCTCCCATTTTCCCCCATTCCAAATCCTAGTATTTTTCAAGTTTGAAAGGAAACCTTTGGCTGAAAAAAGTCAGTTATTTTGGTATTGAAGATGATGGCCCAAAGTTGGTGCATATGTGTACACACACACACACACACACACACACACACACACACACACACACACACACCCCTCTTGGAAATAATACAAATGCCACAAGTATAATGAGAATTAAAAACAATTTAAATTTTCAGTGAAACTAGAGAATAATTGGAAGAGATGCTAAAATCACAGAAAATGGACTAGAGGTGCACAGAGGAGGAAACCTAAATAAACTTTTTCATGATTGTTATAGTGGGAAAGATTAGGGCAGGTATTTCCTTATACCAGTTGGTTAAGAGTTTTAGAGGATTTGAAGCTAAGCATGTAATTTCACAAATACACCACATTTATAGGAAGAAATTTGACTCTGTGGAGGAAAACACAGATTTTTGCACATGAAATGACATTTTATTTTGCTTGGATAAAATTTTAAAACTCACATAAAATCTCTGTGATACGCTATAATATATCCATGACCATATTTTTACAGACATATCTTAGAAATAACTCCTCCAGGAAAAACCATCTGCTTTCTTTTTTTCTTTTTTCAAATTTTTAATTAAGTTTATTGGGGTAACATTGGTTAATACAATTATATAATTTTCAGGTGTACATTATCATTTGGCATCTTTATATTCTATTGTGTGTTCACAACCCAAAGTCCAGTTTCCTTCAGCATCCACATATTTGATCCCCTTTACCCATTTCACCTTCCCTCTACCCCCTATAATTGACCCCCTTTACCCAGTCTACCTCTTCCCTCTTCCCCCATTCCGCTAGTAACCACTAGTCTACAGTCCTTTGGTAACCACTAGCCTATGGTCCATGTCCATGAGTCTCTGTTTGTTTGTCCTGATCATTTGTTGCTTTTAGAAAACCATCTGTTTTAAAGGCAAGTAATCAAAAGAACAAGCACATTATTTATACAAAATATTACAAGAAAAATGGGAAAAAGAAAAAAATGGTAAGTAAGGAAGACTCACCAAATAACTGTTTCTATAGAGCAAATTAAAGTTGTGACATTATTTACCACGAACAAAAATATGTAAGGGAGCACTTGCCTTTATAAGCAAGAAATAAAAGAGGTACAAGACCTCAGAGAAGAGAGGTATTGTGAAATTGTATATTAGAAAAGCTCAGTAAATAAATGGAAGAGAAAAATACCTACGGTAATGAAGGCAAAACTTAAGGAGGTTATATGAAGAATGGACCCTGATGGAAACATTTTAAGGGACATAGAAAATGGGAATAGAAAAAAAAATGAGCAAAATTAACACTAAAAAAGAGGTAACGAAGAATCAGAGGAAAAAGAAATATGGGAGTTAGGCAAAGGAGAGCCACAATACGTGTAATTGGTGTCTTCAATGAAGGAAACCAAATTAATGAAGAGAACAAATATTGAAAAATAGATTTCAAGAAATAATTTCAAAAACAAAGAAAAGTTGAATTTACACACTTAAAAGAAATACCTTGCATTAATACAATGGAATATTACTCAGACATAAGAAAAGGTGTGGTACTGTCATTGTGACAACGTGCATGTATTTTGAGATTATCATGCAAAGTGAAATAAGTCAGAAAGAAAAAGTTGAGAACCATATAATTGCACTTATATGTGGGATATAAAACTGAAAGCAACAAATGAACAAAACAAACAACAGAGATTCATGGACATTGACAACAGTATAGTGGTTACCAGAAGGAAGGGGTAGTGGGAGGTGGATAAGGGTAAAGGCGGTCAAATATATGGTGACAGAAAGAAATTTAACTTTTGGCGGTGAATGCACAATGCAATATACATAGGATATATTATTGAACTGTACACTTGAAACCTATATAATTTTATTAAACAATGCCACCCTAATAAATTTATTAAAAAAATGTGAAATTGCAGAACTGAAAATAAAATGATTTCATCTTGAATGAAAAAAGAAAAAGAAATACCTTGCATGGGCGGATGGGGGCAATAGCCAGAAATGATAGTACAGTTGCCAAACTTTAAAATTCAAGGAATCCATTGACCAGCTACAGAAATGTGTTGAAATATGGTGATATTTGTCAAAATTACAGCTATAGATTTGACCCATCAATGTTATTGCAATAATGTAGAAGCAAAATATTGAAAATAAAATTTTCATCATTAGAGGCTTGTTAAAATATAGAACATCCATAGAATGGAAAGCTATATTGATGTAAAAATAAATGAGAAAGTTCTTTATGTATTGATATAGAATATCTCAATTATTATTTTTATTTTTTAAATTTATTTTATTTTTTAAATTTTAATTAGTTTCAAGTATACCGTACATTGGTTAGACATCTATATCGTTAGTAAAATGATCTCTCCCAATTGCTCCCTCCCTCTGCTGACCCTCCCCTGACCTACCCACTGTATTAATGCTAACTGCATTTCCTATGCCGAGCTCCCCGTCCCCGTGACCATCTATCAACCACTAATTTGTACTTCTTTAACCCTTCACCCCATTCTCCCAGCCCCCCAAAGCCCCCTCCACTCTGTCTGTCACCAAATTGTCCACTGTATTTGCGAGTCTATTTTTGATTGTTTTTTTCTTTTTATTCCTTAAATTCTGCATATAAGTGAAGTCATATAGTGTTTATCTTTCTCTGTCTGACTTAAATACCTTCTAGGTTCATCAAAGCAATATCTTTTTCCATTTCCTTCCTTTTCATATGTAGGGTCTTGTTTTCTTATCCTTTCAGCCACTCTATCTTTTGGTTGGAGCACTTAATTCTTTTCCATTTAAGGTACTTATTGATAGGAATGTAGTTGTTACCATTCTTTATTCTTATTTTTGATACATGTTTTTTCTTCTTAAAGAAATCCCTCCAAAGTTTCCTGTAATTCTGGCTTCATGGTGATAAATTCCTTTAGTTTATTTTTGTCTGGGAAGCTCTTTATCTGTTCATTAACTTTAAATAATAGCTTTGCTGGATAAATTATTCTTGGTTATATATCCTGGGTCGTCATCCTTTGTAATATTTTTTTGCCAAGCCCTCTGTCTTGCATAGTTTCTTTTGTGAAATCAGCTGCCAGTCATATGGGTGTTCCCTTAAATGTAATTATTATTTTTTTCTCTTGTTGCTTTTAATATTCTTTCTTTGTATTTAACCTTTGGCATTTTAATTATGACGTGTCTTGATGTGGGCCTCTTTGGGTCCCTGGATTTTGGAATCCTCTGAGCTTCCTGGGGTGTTATGTCCATTTCCTTCACCAGGTTAGGGAAGTTTTCCATCATTATTTCTTCAAACAGCTGTTTAACCTCTTGATTTTCTTCACTTACACCAATCAGATGAATATATGGAGCCTTAATAGTGTCCCATATCCTCCTTAAGTCATCTTTATAGCCTTTGGCCTCTTTTTCCTTGCCATTCTGTTTGAGTGTCTTGATTGGCTGTCCTGTCCTCTAGCTAGGGCATGTGATCCTCTTCTTTATTCATTTTGTTTATTCCTTTGTTTATTCTATTTTATATACTTCTCATCTCAGATAATGTGTTCCTCATTTCAGACTAGTTCCCTTTTATAATTTCTACTTCCATTTTTATGTTTTTTATCTCTATGTTGTAGTTCTCACTGAATTTATCTACACTTCCCAAAAGTTCGTTGAGCATCTTTATAACCAGTGTTTTGAACTCTGCACCTGTTAGATTACTTGACTCTATTACATTTGGATCTTGTTCTGTTCTATCATATATTTTCTGCTTCTTTGTCTTCCCATTTTGGCTGCATTTCCGTGTCTATTTCTATGTACAAAGCAAAGCTCCTAAGTCTCTCGGTCTTATTAGTGTGGATTTGTGAAGTAGGTGTTCAGTGGCACAGTCCTGAGAGGGGTTCAGCTGTAGGCCAAATTTAGATTCAGCAAACAATCCACAGATGTTGTGCTTATAGTTGCCTCAAAAGGCCACACCAGAAACCGAGGTTAGCTGCCTCCACCAGTGTGAGTCTCAGCAAGGAGCACTTGACTCACTGAGGATACAACTGGATGTGGCTTGGGTGGGGCTGCGAGTTGTGGGAGGTGGGGTTTCCTATATAAAGAATCATGTCATCTGCACAAAGTGACAATTTGACTTCTTCATTCCCAATTTGGATGCCTTTTATTTTTTCTCTTGTATGATTGCTCTGGCTAGGACTTCTAGTACTATGTTGAATAACAGTGGTGAGAGTGGCATCCTTGTCTTGCTCCTAATCGTAGAAGAAAAGCTTTCAATTTTTCATTGATAAGTATGATTATTAGCTGAAGGTTTTTTATATATGGGCTTTATTATGTTGAGGTGCTTTCTTAAAATAACCTTATTACCCAAAGCAATATACAGATTTAATGTAATCCCCATCAAAATCCCAATGGCAATTTTTAAAGAAATGGAACAAAAAAAATCAGATTTTTATGAAACTCCAAGAGACCCCCAAGTAGCCAAACTAATCTTGAGAAAAAGAACAAAGCTGGAGGTATCACACTCCCTGAATTCAAATTATACTACAAAGCAACAATAATCAAAACAGCATAGTATTGTCAGAAAAACAGACACACAGACCAATGGAACAGAATTGAGAGCGCACATATATATGGGCAAATATTTTTGATAAAGAAGCCAAAAAACATACAATGGACAAAAGAGAGCCACTCCAATAAATGGTGCTGGGTAAATTGGAAAGCCACATGCAAAAGAAACTAGGCTGCCATTTGTCATCATATACAAAAATTAACTCAAAATGGATAAAAGACTTAAATATAAGACCTGAAACAATAAAATACATAGAAGAAAACATAGGTACCGAACTTATGGACCTTGGTCTTAGAGAAGATTTTATGAATTTGACCCCAAAGGCAAGAGAAGTAAAAGCAAAAATAAATAATTGGACTATATCAAATTAAAAAGCTTATGCACAGCAAAAGAAACCAACGATAAAACAAAAAAGCCATCAACTGAATGGGAGAAGATATTTTTAAACTACATCTCCAATAAGGGGCTAATATCCAAAATATATAAAGAACTCATACAACTCAACAACAACAAAAATAAACAATCCAATTAAAAAAATGGGCAGAAGGCCTGAACAGATATATCTCCCAAGAAGACATTCAAACAGCCAACAGACACATGAAAGGATGATCAAATTTACCAGCTATTAAGGAAATGCAAATCAAAATCACAATGAGATACCACCTCACACCTGTTAGAATGGATATTATCAACAAGACAAGTAATAACAAGTGTTGGAGAAAAATTTCTAGGTAAATAGCAACCTTCATACACTGCTGGTAGCAATGTAAATTGGTGCAGCCACTATGGAAAACAGTAGAGACAGTCCTCAAAAAATAAAAATAGAGTTACTATATAACCCAGGAATCTTTCTTCTGGGTATCTAACCACAAAAATTTGAAAACACTTATTTTAATAATATATGTGCTCCTATGTTCTTGCAGCATTATTCATGGTGGCTAAGACATGGAAATAACTGAAGTGCCCTTCGATAGGTGATTGGATAAAGAAGATGTGGTATATATACACAACGGACTATTACTCAGCCATAAGAAGACATGAAATAATGCCATTTGCGAAAACATGGGTGGACCTCGAGATAATTATGCTAAGCGAAATAAGCCAGACAGAAAAAGTTGAAAACCACATGATATCGTTTATATGTAGTATATAAACTTAAAAGCAACAAACGAACAAGAGAAAGAAATAGAGACTCATGGACATGGAGTATAGACTAGTGGTTACCAGAGGGGATGGGCGAGAGGGGAGGGTGAAGGCAGATGTGGTAAAAGGGGTCAATTATGTAGTGACAGAAAGAAATCTAACCTGATTGGTGAACACACAATGGACTACTCAGCCATAAGAAAAGATTAAATAGTGTCATTTGCAACAACATGAGTGAATCATAAGAATATTGAGTTAAGTGAAATAAGTTAGGCAGGAAAAGTTGAGAACAATATGATTTATTTTTATATGTGGGCTATAAAGAGGAAAGCAACGAACAAATAAACAAGATAAACCAACAAACAAAAAGTCATAGACACAAACAGTATGGTGGTTACCAGAGGGAAAGGCAGGAGTGGGGGAGAGGTGGAAGAGGGTAAATGGGGTCAAATACATAGTGACAGAAGGAGACTTGACTTTGGGTGGTGAACACACAATGCCCTATACAGATGATGTATAAAAGAATTATACACTTGAAACCTATGTAATCTTATTAACCAATGCCACCCCAATACATTTAATAAAATTAAAAAATAGAGACAACAATAACAAAAACTTAGCTGATCTCTTCAAGAATAGGTATTATAATTTCTGACTTATATATGAGGAAACCAAAACCAGAGATTAAAAAAATATTGGCCAAAATCAAGGCCAAGCATTGGGGCCAAAGTGTGATCACAGCTCTGATTACTGTAACAATTGAGCTCTTTCAAGTTATTATTTATGCACATTTCTTGAATGCTTTCCATGAAGCAGGCACTGGGGTACAGTGATGAAAGATATTGTGCACCCATGAAGTGGGTGGTTTCTGCATCGTGACTATTCCTTTTCACATTTTTTGATTTATGTTGCATTTGTCTACAGGTCTGTCTGTCCACTGGAGAAAAAGCTCCAGGCAACAGAGTCTATTCTTCACAGTTCTTTTTAAAGTCCTTGACATACAGTTCAGAGCAATAGTAGACAATCAAGTCATACCTATGATGAAATTATTGTCTAAATACCACTAAAAGAGATTTGAAGAGTTTTAAGATTAAAATATATTCATAAAGAAATGCTCAACATGGATTAAGAAGAAGATTAGGGATAAGAAAAGCAATTGGCGCACTATAGGAACCATCCTGCAGCATGTTTTTCTATTAAAACAGAACTTGGAAAGCATTCTAATTAAGTTTATCAAGAGCTTTCTTCTTTCTTTCTTTTAGCTCTATTCATAATCACCCCAAACTGGAAGCAATCAAATGCCCTTCAATGGGTGAATTGTTAAAGAAAGGATGGTATGACCATACAATGAAATATTACATAGCAGTAAAAATGAATGAACCATTGATACTCAAAACAACATGGATAAACTTCAAAACCATTACACTGAGTGAGAGAAACTTGACTCAAACACATTGTATTATTCCATTTTATTATATGATATTCTCAAAATACAATACTATAGGTAAAAGAAAACAGTTTAAGGATTGCTAGGGGTGGAGGTAAGGGTGACTGCAAAGAGACAGAAGGAGGGATAATGGAACTAATTGTTCTGGACCCTGATTATGGTGGTAGTAACCCAAGTGTGGACGTGCATTAAAATTCATAAAACTGTCCACCAAAAGGAAAAAATAAGTCATGAAAAGGCTCTAAAGCTTATAATTATATGGCTATATCATAATATGTTAAACTATTCTCCATTGACAAATGTCATTTGTTTCCAATCTTTAACTTGCATATTATGTCCCAATAAAGAAGCTTCTAAATGTACCCTAATGTGGAGTAAATCTGAACAAGAAAAGGAAATGGGAGGAAAGGGTCTTAAGAGACCCAAAGGTGCTCTTTCTTGGGCTCTGAGATCTAGTAACAACAATTCCAAAGCAGTCCTCATTGTTGACAGGATGGACTGGGCATAAGAGTGAAGACAGATGGAGGGAACATGTGACATGGGAAACTACTTACCTTGACAAGTGTTCTCCTTCTCACTTTTGAATTTGGTGCCGCCTGAAAGGAGCTCGCACCCAGAGGTGCACTCACAGTGGTGACTTCCCTCCACATTGTGACAATCCGCAATGCTTCCACAAGACACATATAAAGGCGGGCCACACTCGTTGATATCTGGAACACAATTGGGAACTGCTAGGAATGGCCAAAATTCTGGTTGAGATTGGTAGCAACCAGATTTAAATGATTTTACCCCTCGTGTTATCTTTCTAAACAAAATAATGTGTTTACAGGAAAAAACTGGAAAAGGAGAAAATGCAAAGAACACATAAATATGCAACCACTGAGACTAAAGCAATTTTTAACAAGGGGAGAATAGTATAATAAACCCACATGTAGCTATTACTGAGCTCCACCAATTATGAAAACAGCATCATTACTTTTTCTTCTGTTCTCCAGCTCTCATGGAATCAGATTATGGCTTTGGTTTATGCAAATTCTTCCAGGGTTTTAAGATATTTTGTGACTACTTTTCTATATCAAAATAATAAATAAATATTAATGCCTCTAGAATATTTCACATTTTATTCAACTCAGGACCAACTGGACAGAACTCAGAATGCTGTAGTTTAAGATGTAGGTCCAGGTTCTCCCACTTCCTAGTTGTGTGACTAAACAAGTCACCTCTCAGGGCTCACATTTCCTCATTTATAATATGGCACCAGCATTGACTTTCTCAAGAGGTTGCTTTGTGCTTCTTAGGAGATCGTGTTTGAGAGTTTTCTGAACTTCAAATTAATCTTATTTGAATTCCAACTGTATTACTGGCTGTAATAGCATGAGCAAGCTACCTCCCAAAGTCTCAGTTTCTTTATTTATAAATAGAGGATAATAACAGTATCCACTCATTTGGTTATTATGTAGTTTAAATTAATTTTAATATCAGAAATTGTGTTTTTTACAAAAAAAATTTAAAGCACACAGGAATTTGATGAGTTGATATTATTACTATCCGTGATATATAGATAAGAAAGTTGAGATACTGGGAGGCGAAACAATTTGCTTGGGCTCATATAGCTGGTCAGTAATACAGCTGGAATTCAGACACTTCAGCTCCAAATCTCGAGCTCTTAACACTATGCTCTTTGGCCATCAGAACTGATCACCCTGTTTCTTGGCTCTTCTCTCCTACCCTTGGCAAAGAACTTTAGTGCTGATTCAAGGGCTGGGAACTCTAGATGCTCCCCACATCCAATGACCCCTCTGCCCTCCCTCAGCCTCTTCCCTATACAAACTTCCGAGGTGTTGTTAAAGATGGTCTGTCCAGACAGAGAAGTGAATCCAGGATCACGGCGGCAAAAAAGTGGCATTGGTACACTGGGCATTCCGTGGGCACTGAGCACAGGGAACTGTGGGAAATGGACGTCTGGGTTTGAACTCCCTTATAAAATGCCAGCTGCCAGTTGGAAACAATGGGATGGAGGAAGGAGAGGGAAGAAATGCCTGCCTTCACACAAGGAAGAACCCTCAGTAATAAACTCTATGTCTGGGGAAGAAGCAGCATCAATTTCTCAAAGCCCAAGAGGACCATCCCTCCAAATAAGTCCTTGTTAGTATGAAGTTCCTTTCCTCAGCTTCAGGTGATTGATGGGGTTTGTTTGAACACACTCACCTCCAGTCTTCTGAGCAATAGCTCCCAATGATATTAGCAGGACCCAGAGCTCTAGAACAGAGAGAGGAGGTGAATATGGCTGAGAAATGAGATCCAAAGCACCCACAGGAATGGCTTCTACCACCTGGTGAAATGCAGTCTCTTCGATAGCCCCATGGCTTCTAACAGCATCCCAGTGTTCCCTTGTCCCTTAGACAGGCTCCTAGACTTTCCCACAGGACCCTGGGGACAAAGAATTTTTCTTTAATCTTCCATAAGCCTCCCAAGATATTGATAGTAGTAGGCTTTTAGTATAAGGATCAAAATCTACACAGATGGAAAATGACAGGCACACCTATTAGATTATCTATTCCCATCCATTTTACATGATACATCTTATGAGGAAACTCCTTGGATCTGGCTGTCTTTATTCAGATACAAATATTAGTTTTTTATTATTCAGGATCTTTCTTTTTTTGAAGTGGCTTAAATCAATTTTCACTTGCAGGCTGCCCTGAGATTATACCATTGTTATTGGAGTTGTAAACAAGTAAATTTGAATTCTAGCTCTGCCACTCACTGGCTCTGTCACTTTTTGCAAATTGATCTTTATTTTTAAAAATTTTTACTGTTTAGTAGAAAATTTCTACTAAATTTCATACTAAAAAGTAGAAAAATAGTCAACTGAATCCTCATGAATCAATCATCCTGCTGTCATAATCATAAATTTATGGCCATTTTTTATTTCATCTGTACCTCTACTCATTCTCATGCTCCCACTGGATTATTTGGAGACATATTAAAGGATTCATTATTTCTCAGGACATAGTCTAAGAATAAACATATTTATAGGTAATAATAAAAAATTTATAGATACTACATTAAGAAATCTCAAAATAAAACCTCAATTTTCTGGTTTCAAGTTCAAGCCACTTTCTTCTTTGAAAGGTTAATAGAAATCAACAAATGCCTTTTTTGTTATTATGCTTCTGAAGAATAGTGCAAGAGCAATCTATGAATCAATCAGAGAACATAGACATTTCTCCAAAAGGATAAAGACTACTAAAATGGTTTAAATTAAAGATCCTCTCAATTATACCTACCTGGATAAAATGCAAAATATCTGTTCCTCATTGTGCAGAAACATGAAGTATGAGCACTGGGGAATTTTTGTCTTGAGCTGTGAAGTAATATTTCCTGTTGATGCAAATAACATGTGACCGAGAAGAACTGACTTAGAAAAGAACTGGCCTGGATGCTTCCTTCCCCTTCCCCTTCCCCTGCCCAATTTAAACTTATCAGATTTCTCTGTTCTGTTTTGTATCCTTTGGTTAGCATTACTACTGTTTGGACTGCCAGCCTCCTTGCTGATGTTTCTTAATTCTTGATGATGAAAGACTGATGCTGACTCTATTTAGAGGATCTTTTTAAAATAGTAAATATGCCAGGCCTAGGGCAATGATATAGCCCAGTACTGGTTGAGCAAAAGCAAAAGTAAGACTACCGCCAAGCTAATATTCAGAGTAACTTCTATACCCTGGGGCTTGAGTTATATATGTTATTCTTTTTTATTCTTGCTCTTCCCTATTGCTTTTACTCTAGTGATTCCAATAAAACAGGAATGTGTTGAGATAGAAAGGTGAGAAAATTTACAGTTACTAATTTTATCATATCAGACACATCCCTTAAGATTTTTGTAAGATGGAAATAGTTATTCTCACTAGTGTGTTGGGAAAATTCGATGAGATAAAACAGGCAAAATACTTGACACATTACATGATCTACTAGAACTACCTAAAAATAATATCCTTTATATATTTCTTTAAGAAAGCAATTAATCATGGAAATTTAGTTATTTCCATTATTTCACGAACATTATATTACTTCATATAAATTTTTGCTTTTAAATTTCTTTCCCATAGAAAATTACTTTCCCATATAAATATGGGTTTACTTCTGGACTCTCGATTCTGTTCCATGAGTCCGTGTATCTGTTTTGCTGCCAATACCATACTGTTTTGATTACTGTCGCTTTGTAGTATAATTTGAAGTCGGGCAGAGTGATGCCTCCAGTTTCATTCTTTTTTCTCAGGATGGCTTTGGCAATTTTGGGTGTTTTGTGCTTTCATACAAATCTCATGATTTTTTGTTCTATTTCTTTAAAAAATGCCAATGGGATTTTGATGGGGATTGCATTAAATCTATATAATGCTTTAGGTAATAAGATCATTTTAACTATGTTGATTCTTCTAATTCAAGAACATGGAATATCTTTCCATTTTTTATATCTTTTTTGATTTTGTTTAATAGGGTCTTGTAGTTTTCATTATATAAGTCCTTCGCATGTTTCGTTAAATTTATTCCTAGGAATTTATTCTTTTTGTTGCAATTGCAAAAGGAATTATTTTTTCCACTTCTTTTTCTGACACTTCGTTATTAGAGTATAGGAACGCTATAGATTTTTGAATGTTGATTTTGTATCCAGAAACTTTACTGTATTTGCTTATTGTTTCTAGTAGTGTTCTTGTGGAGTCTTTAGGGTTTTCTATACAGAGAATTGTGTCATCCACAAAGAGTGACAGTTCGACTTCTTCGTTTCCTATTTGGATGCCTCTTATATCTTTCTCTTGCCTGATTGCACTCGCTAGGACCTCCAATGTTATACTGAGTAGCAGTGGCGATAGTGGCGATAGTGGACAGCCTTGCTTTGTTCCTGATCTTAGAGGGAAGGATTTTAGTTTTTTATCATTAAGTAAAATGTTGGCTGAGGGCTTGTCATAGATGGTCTTTAAGATACTTTCCTTCTATACTGATTTTGTTAAGTGTTTTGATCATAAATGGATGATCAAAACACTTAACAAAATCACATCTATTGATGTGACCTTATGATTTTTATTTTTTAATTTGTTTATATGGTGTATCACATTAATTGATTTGCATATGTTGAACCATCCCTGTGCGTGTGGGATGAAGCTCACTTGATAGTGGTGTATAGTTTGTTTAGTAAGTTGGATCGCTAGTATCTTATTTAGAATTTTTGCATCTATGTTCATGAGAGATATTTGTCTGTAGTTTTCTTTCTTTGTGTTATCTTTACCAGGTTTTGGTATCAGAGAAATATTGGCCTCATAAAAAGAGTTGGGAAGTATTGCCTCCTACTCAATTTTTTGCAAGAGTTTGAGGAGAATAGGTATTAAATCTTTGAATGTTTGGTAGAATTCACTGGTGAAGCCATCTGGTCCTGGACTTTTACTTTTTGGTAGGTTTTTGATGATTGTTTCAATTTCCATACTGCTGATTTAGGTTTTCAAGTTCTTCTTGGACGATTGTATTTTTCTAAGTACAGGTCCATTTCTTCTAGGTTATTAAACTTGGTGTTATATATTTTTCATAGTATTCTTGTATGATCCTTTGTATTTCTGTGATGTCAGTTGTAATTTTTCCTCTTTCATCCCTGATATTGTTTATTTGTGTCCTTTCTCTTTCTTCTTTAGTGAGTCTAGACAGAGGTTTGTCAATTTTATTAACCTTCTAAAAGAACCAACTCTTTGTTGTATTCATCTTTTCTATTTTTTTTTTGTTTTCAATTTCATTTATTTCTGCTCTAATTTTGATGATTTCTTTCCTTCTGCTGACTCTAGGCTTGGTTTGTTCTTCCTTCTCTAGTTTCTTAAGATGAAGCATTAGATTGTTTGTTTGGGCTCGGTCTTGTTTTTGGAGATAGGCCTGTAATGATATAAACTCTCCTCTTATGACCGTTTTTGCCGTGTCTTTAAAGTTCTGATATTTTGTACTATCATTATCATTTATTTCTATGTATCTCTTGATCACTCTTTTTCCTTCTGCCCTGACCCAGTTAGTCTTCAGTAGCAGGTTGTTTAATCTTCATGTATTTGTGGTTCTTCCTGATTTCTTTTTGCAGTTGATATCTAGGTTCAAAGCATTATGATGAGAGAATATGGTTGGTATGATTTCAACCCTCTTATATTTGTTGAGGCTATTTCTTTGTCCCAGTATGTGGTCGATTCTTGAGAAAGTTTCCATGTGCAGTAGAGAATAATGTATAAGCAGCTGTTTTGGGATGGAAGGCTCTATAAATGTCAATTATGTCCAGGTGGTCGAATGTGTTATTTAAGGATGTTATTTCCTTATTGCTTTTCTGTTTGGATGATCTGTCCATATCTTACAGTGGGATATTTAGGTCCCCTACAACGATAGTGTCTTGGTCTGTTTCTTCCTTTAGTTCTGTTAGTAATTGCTTTACATATTTCGGGGCTCCCCGATTGGGAGCATAGTTATTAAGAAGTATTATATCTTCTTGGTTCATGATTCCCTTTGTCATTATGAGGTGTCCCTCAGTGTCTTTCTTTACCTTTTTTATTTTGAAGTCTCTTTTGTCTGATATTAGTACCACTACTCCTGCTTTTCTCTGAATGCCATTTGCTTGAAATATCATTTTTCCCCCTTTCACTTTGAGTCTATATTTGTCTTTGGAGCTGATATGTGTCTCCTGGAGGCAGCATGTGGCTAGGTTTTGTTTTTTGATCCAGTCTGCAACTCTGTGCCTTTTTATTGGTGAGTTCAGTCCATTTACATTTAGGGTGATTATTGAAACATGAGATCTTCTTATAGCCATTTTATATTTTGCCTTCTGGTAGCTCGGTGTTTCCATTGCTTCCTTGTCCTTGTGTTTCTTTTTTCTTTTTTTTGGTTGGCTTTTGTGAGTTTTGCATC